TGGCTCAAGGAAAAAGAGAACAGGGCTTGCTGTTAGATGCCCTGGTTGTTTAGGGGTTCGGCCAGGTTTAAGTACCTTCCTTCCCCTTTGATTCTCTTCCATCTCATTCTTGCGGTAAGGTCCTAGCAGGATTGCGACTTCATCAGGCGCATCCTGGGATCCAGGCATGTCGCTTCGTAGTGAGAGAGCAGTTGTTGCTCACCACTTTGTTGAATCGACATTGCGCAGCCCGCCCTCTGCCTCTGAGAGGCCTTTGGCCTAGGTGCCCTTGGAAACCTGGCCACTGCAGAGGCACTGTTGAATCTGCATCCTGCGGAGGTTCAAGAGCGAGAGAGACTGTTGCCACTGCAGCTCCCTGAAAAGGACAACTGTGCTGTGATCCTCAAAGCCGGAGCAGTAGACATGGTGCGAGTCCCTGAATCGATTCAGCCCCATTTCTTCTGCACATGGGTGGGTCTTTCTGAAAGGTGATGCACGCCATGGCTTCCTGGACAGGCCCAAGCTGCCTTGCATTGCTTTTTGTTGCACTGGTTGTTATCTCTCTCTTTTTTCGTTTCGATTGGGTGCAGATGAACCTCGGGTCCAGCATTTCGCATGCCTGGCCTTGTCCAACTTCGCCCACGACGATGCCAACAAGGTTCCCGTGAGTTTTGGCTCTAGGCAGCCTTTTTGCGTCTTTTGCTGAGGTTGCCATCGGCCGGGCGGGTGGCAACAAGAAGATCATCTCCTCCATGCAGAGGTTCCACGGAAGTCAAGCCATGAGAGAGCAAGAAATGTGTCTGCCTGCTGTGGTCAAGGCACTCGGACCATGCCGGTGTGCAGGACCTGCTCCCTTTCTTACGATTTGGCCATTCGTCCCTTTCTTGCATCATTTGCAGAACATGACGCTCCGTCAGGAGCAGGCTTGTGGTGCCTTGGCCAACCTTGGCGTCAACCAGCAGAACATGGTTTGCCTGGCAGTTGGAGTTTTATACGATTGCCTCCAGTCTTTCTACTTCACACTTTTTGACTTCCCGGATGGCCTGCCGCTGTTCTCTTCAGATTGGCGACTACTACAGAATGTCATGACAGGTTGAGATCGCGCAGTTGAGCGGGATTGCCCCGGACCTACTTGCAGACAAGCGTGCGGCCCCATCATCTGCCCAAGACAGCAGTTGGTTAAGGAGCTGGTCATTTCCTCCCTGAAAAAGTTTCCCACAGAGCCGGGCGTGCAGGCCTCGCACCTGCGCTACTTCGTTGGTGCCGTTGTGTGCAGCAAGTCATCAATGGTTCATGATGAGGAGAATGGATGCTTCGCACTCTCAAAGTTCCTGACGATGCCAAACGAGCCAGGGCGGCAGCAATGTGGCATCAATGGCTTTTGATGATCGTGTGCAGCCAGGTCTTACCGTCAAAGGATGAAGCAAGCAGATGCGGAGGCTGGTTCTCTGCGATGCACACTTGCAGCTTGCATGGAAGCAGTACCATTGAGACAGAAGTGCACTGCGCCTCTCAGCGGCCACTTGGCTCCAGATGACTCGTTGCATAGGGAAGGGGCTTGGGCTCAGCAAAGGGGTCTGCTCCTCAGAGTGTTGAAAGATATCACATTCCCGAACAACTTTTCGATGGACTGAGAGCAAAGCCTGACAAAATATCTGCAGTACTAGTACTGTTCCGGGAGCTTGTGCCGAGGATCAGCGAGATCCGCCCTGCTAGACCTAGGCTCGATCGAGCAGGCTGGAGCCTCCGTTTCTTGCAACGCGAGGACCAGTGACTCCTCTTAAGGCCTTAAGGCTTGAAGCCCTCCCTCACTCGATGTTCAGATCCTTTCAACTGGGCCGTGGCTTCTGTAGGGCCGCGATGCGGAGGCTCTGAAGTGTCGGATGCAGCCGAGTGACCGATGGCGGGCGATGCTGGAGATCGGTGCGGCTCAGGCACACCGAGATCGCTCTGATTGGGATATGGCATGACCTTGTAGGAGCAAGATGCCACGTGATATGATACCTTTGCAGCCCAGGCTGCAGGGCACGAGACCGACCCGCAGATGCTGCAGATTTCCTACCGCACAGAACTCGGGAGCCGTCCGGCAAAGAGCTTCTGCTTGTGCACAGAGATCTCCAGTTCAAGCTGCAAAGCTCTCACTGAGGCAAGCACGACCAAGAAGAGGTGGAGACCGAAATTGTTTACGAGGACTCTGGTCTGGTCGCCGGGAGAAGAGATGCTCGAAACAGACGAAACTATAGGAAGACGAAGGTCGTCTCCCAATCCGGCAAGAAGAGTTCGCTTGTGCCAACGCCGAGTCTGATGCCACAGGCCCCCGCCCCGACCAACCGTGAACCCGCCCATTTTACTATTCAAGTTTCAGTGCCGTCCAACCTGTGTGCTCCTTTGTTCAAAGTCTTTTGTCCCTTCGAGCGGCGTGCTCCTCTCCAGTCTCTTGTGAAAGCTGGCACATGCCGTTCGACTGTGATTGGAGAGATCGTGGGAGAGGGTAGCTAGTATGCGGTTCAGGCGACTTCAGACAGGGGACGGCAGGACTAAGCTCAAATAGTTGTCATTGAGTCAGGGGAGCCAGCCGCTCGAAATGGACTTGAGGAGCTGTGGTTGTGGGGAGGGGGGGGGCCAGCAAACCATTGAAAAGAGACTGAGGAAGTTAAGAGCGGGGAACAATGTGTACTAAAGCGCTGTGTGACATTTGAGGGATGCAAATCGGTCGGAAAGGATTCAAGAAGTTGTCACGCGAACCTGTCGACACGGATTAGAGTAGACATGTTGAGTTGCCCAGGGCCCAGAGGGAACAAAGACTTCAGCTAGGGAAGTTGAGAGAGTTGAGAACACCGTATCAAAGCGACTAGAGATAGAGAAAGAGACCGTTCAGCAGTGACTGGAGAACTTGAGCATCTTTAGGCCGAGGAGATTGTGAACAATACCAAACCGTTCGAAAGGGACGAGAGAAGTCCGAGGCAATCCGCTCCAAAAGAACTAGTCAAAAAGAGAAGCGGGAGCAAACCTCCGAAAAGAAGAGAATGTGGGCTTTGAACCATTCCGAGAGGGGCACATCACAAGCATACAAGACCCGCAGCTATTGCGGTGGCTCCATCGACTGCCGGTCATGACCCCACAAAACAAGTCCATGTTGGCTAAGAGCTTACGTGGCAATGTGTCAGGTCTTTCTTTGTCAGTACTCGAAGTCGGACATGAGAGCATGCAAGCGTGGCGTTGCGCACATCATGCAGACTTCAGCAAGACTGTTGAGGACGCAGCCGAAGCAGGGGAGCAGCCGCGGCTCCTCGTCTCGCTGAAATCTGCGTGTGCCTGAGCTTGTGAGATGCCATTCTCGGAGTCTCAGCCACGGCCGCAGTGTCGAGAAAACAGAACCGGGTGCCACCTTGCCAGGGCGGGTACGTACCGTACGTATTGACATGTCGCAAAAAAGATTCACTCCACTGCCACTTGCTAGTGCTAGCGAGAGACTTCGCTGGTCGAGGTCAGCACATTGAAGCTGCTCTGCGAGCATGAGCATGCCAGGCTGGAGTAGACAGGGAGCGCTTCCAAAGACTTTCCGCATAATTCTGTGGGAGGTGCGACAAGGTGAGCAACATGCTGGCAGAATGTCGTTCAGCGTGACCCGTCGAGCTTTCCTTTGTGCAGAAGTTGCTGTCGACACTCACACTGGCAAGCTTCAGATGCGAGAGTTGCTACAACAGACAGGTCCATTCAGTCATGCAGTCTCGCACCATTGTGCTGGAGCAGATGTGTAGTGCAAAGCCTGACCCTGGCCCACGACATGTAGCACGCACATTCGGATTGGATCAAGGCAAATGTCGCCTCCTGCACCCACCCCAGCTTCCTCATCGGCTTGGCAGGTACTACAAAGAGCTCAGGTGGTTGAGGGAACAGCCGCTTTGCTTCGATTGAAACCATGCCCAAAGCAACCTAAATTCAGACCTTTGGGAACTTATGATTCCAGAGCATCATTTGGAGCCGAGCAAACAGCGAGAACCACATCTTAAACCCTAAAGTTTTTTGGTGTTAACAATGTTACTGGTAAGCACTTATTCTGTGTCAAGATTGAGTGTTGCAGCTGCAGTGTTCGAGTCTGGCGTTACAGTGAGTGAACAGTGGTTTTCGGGGTTCAGGTTTGGGCCTATTAGGTGGTTATCAGGACGAAGGGATCGGGTTTGAGGGTTAATAGCAGAAGCCGTATCCCTTGGAGTACTGTAACACTTTACCATAAAAAAACTTTAGGGCATCAGATGTTTTATTCTGGCAGTTTCCAGTGTCCCACAGCCAGGCCCAGGCCCCAGACCCCAGGCCCCAGGTCCCAGGTCCCAGGTCCCAGGCCCAGGCCCAAGAGTCCAGGCCCAGGCGCCAGGGCGCAGGCCCCGGCCCCAGCCCCCCCAGGCCCACTCCAGACCCGGCCCCCAAGACGCCAGGCACCCCCAGCCCAGCCCCCAGCCCCCCAGCCCCACGGGGAGGCAGCTCGTCTCGAAGCCGGAAAACACCCAGGCCAGGAAACCGAATGAAGTTGCATAGCCATCTAGTAGGAACGCGCTCCTTTTAAGTGTTGT